TCCCATACATCAGTTTTGTGCTTGGCTTGGAACTCTCTGTGTGAGCTCTGGTGGGTATCCAAAACGGAGACTGCGAGGAAGGTAAGGGTTCGCTTGGCTCCAGATGGCACTGGAAAGTGCTTCCCTCCCACACCACTCAAGAGTTTGAGTATCGTGTTATTGGACTGGGTTCTGAACAATAACACTCGTCCAGAGTGAATGTTGCCGTGAACAATACCGTTACGATGATAGTACTCTATCGCATCAAGCAACTGTATCATCCACGGCCTTGCGGTATCTGCAGTCAAACTACCGACCATGTCAAGAAGTTCGGATAGCGATCCTTTGTTAGCATACTCGAACAAAGTATAAATATGCCAGGTGCCTTCGTGAAACGCCTCGGGATCGGGAGGACGATATATCTTGAATCCGATAAAATCAACTAGGTTCGGATGTTTCAGTCGCTTTAAGATTTCAAGCTTGTCCTCGCTCGCCCTAATTTCCTGTCGGATGTCATGTCCTGAGCCCTTTTCGCGAATAAATAGCTCTTTAAGGACGAGAAGCGGAACACGAGTCCCATTGCCTGGAGAAACGGGCCGAACTGTGAAAGTCGCCTTGTGCGGAGCGCTGGCAATCAATGTCTTCCCAAACACCGCCTGGAAAGTAATGGGCCGTTCATCATAGTCATTCATTACTAACGGTGGGTCAAAAGAAACAGTTTCAGAACTATCTTCAGATGAATCAAAAGACTCATTATGCTCGAGAGCCACCTTGCTTCTCCGCCGCGATACTTGTTCTTTCACACGTTGTCTCTGTTTGATTTTACTCTCAATTAGCGTCTGTAGGGCCTTCTCCTGTTCAGCAGTGGCTTGTTCCTGCTTTCTCCGCTCTTCCTGCTTCTGTTCTTCTGCTTGCTGGATTGCTGCGGCTTCCTGGACAATCCGCTCTTCCTCCAGGCTTGGCATATCTTTGTCCTCGGCTTGTGATATTGCGACATCTTCGAGAATATCCTGGATGGATAACGCAAGTTCGTAGATCATTTCCGAACCCAGAAGAATTTTCGGTTTCGTATCAATGACATCCTTGATCCTGGATTTGGCGCCCTTCCGGAGGTCATCGAGGCCTTGGACGGTCAAATTTGGGATTGTCTTGGGATAAGTCGCAGGCAGCGAAACTAACAAGACAACACTCACGTCCGGGTTCGAGGACGCTCTCAGATGCATTTGAAAGCTACTTTCAGAGGCTTGCTATTTACCAGACCATGAGCACACTGTCCCGGTAGATGTACGCATATCGGTATAAATACAAAAAGACTAGTGCTTGTTGTACGAAACTTACATGCCAAGCTGCTTGTCGAACCTCTACATCTTCGAAATCGGTCGAATAGATTGAGCGCAAAGCGTCAGCCTCGTTTCCACGGATTTCTTTGTATTTAGTCGCAGGGAGGATAGCGGGTGTCTCAGGAGGATTCTCCTTTTTCTCTACTCCTAGAACGTCGTTTTTCAGGCCATTGGATTTCTTGTGTTTGTGAGGCATGACGGGCTGGGAAATGAATATCAAAACCCATTGGGATGAGATCGCCCCCGTTGCTCCCCAGTAAATGTGAGCAACAAAGATGCAGCGGAAGCTGCACCCCTCTATCTAGACATGACTTGACTGAACGCGGGGGGGGGGGGAGATAAGTTGAGAAGTGCGGTGCTAAGTCAATGATGTTCTTCCCCTGTGGCGCTTGTTGGCGGTTGAGCATATACTGGCCGCGCTAGGCCGAATCCTGAAAGCACCGCGTTTTCCGCGCCACTTGGCGGCGGTGACGTCGAAGTAAACAAACCAAGCCCATCTCCACGTTGCAAGACGGACTGGAGTGGCCATTCTCACAACTCTAAGCCAACGAACATGGTGCGGGAACAATGATTCTCTGATATCTACTTGTTGACCTCGTTTGCCCATTCTCCTAAGTGATATCCAGCCGTTTTGTCAATATGTTGGGCTGGTTTGCTGGCTCAGGACGCGGTGAGTACACTGGCTTTGCAGGTATGCAATTTTTTCACACCGCCTCTATACACTTTCCTACCAATGACAAGTTTACTTTTCCGCTCCAATTGCTAATCATTCCGGCTATCTTTAGACGACTGCAAAACCCAGGAAGCTCCAGAGACTCCCGCTCCCGTATTTGCTTTTCGGGCATTCAAAAATGCCATTGTGGGCACTCCAGGGCCCGATGCTACCGACGATGAGCTTACTGTCCCAATTAGGTCACTAAAGCCTACTGTCAATCGTAAGGACACTAATATACATATACTGCAAAAACCAAAAAATTCCAGCCCTTTAGATTTGCAGCCATCACTTCCAACATCGGATGTATCTGCACAGCCAATGGCTTCACCCACAAAGAGCATTCTACTGACGCCAGGGACTGCGGCAACACGACGGAAGACTGTTTCGTTTGGCGAAGGAGTTGTGGATAATGAACGAAAAAAATCTCTCTTCGAACCGATTGCTTATAATGGTAATATAAGCCGGCAATGGACAGGCAAACAACATGAGGAAAGCGGCAAGAACAGAAACAAACCCACCAAATCTCTCTTCGAGACTCGGAGCCAAAAACTAGGTGGGGAAAAGAAACGGGATGAAAATGACGAACTTTTTGATATTACCGATCGAATACACCCCTCACCCGATAAGGAGGCCGGTCAACCTCGGATGAAAGAAGAACAACGCAAGGATGAGGATGAAGAGGAAAACGAGGAGGATGTGACGACAAATCTTGATGAACCGCACTCTCAGTCGGGAATGTACTGGAAATCTGAGTTCGATAGTTATAGAGCGAGGACTGATCGAGAGATCAAAAAGCTAATCCAATATAGATCGGTCGCGAAGTCTTACGCGAAGAAAAAGGATTTGGAAATGCGCCGTTTGTCAGATAAATTGAAACGAGAAGAGGCCAAAGTTGCGGAAATGGAGCTTCGCGTTTCTAAGCTTGCAGCTGGAATGGTAGATGGTACCAACCAAAATCAGTCAAACGAAGATATGTTTAAAGAGCTGTCCGAACAAACAGCCTTAGCTGTACAATACAAGCGCAAAGCCGATTCGCTACGGAAAGCCCTAGAGCGACACGGGGTGATAGAGAGCGATGGCGAGTCTCAAGAAAATAGTGCATCCTCGGAGGATCTTCGCCAGCAACTCCGAAAAATGGAAAAGGCGCTTGAATTGGCTAATTCCCAACTCAAGGAATTCGAAAACAACAAATTGGATACCAACAAGCTTCAAGATTTGGCTGAGAGTTCGGAACGTAAAGCGGTCGAACTTCAAAAAGAAAACAAAGCATTAAAACTAAGTCTCGCCCGGTTTAAGGAAGAGATGACAAATTACGAAGATAGGCGGAAAGCTAAAGAAGCCAGGTTGAAACAAAAAGAACAAAAGCTGCAGGACCGGGTCCAGGAATACAAAAACCGTTTAGACGAGGCAAAACAACACCACCTAGAAGCGGAGCAAGTATTAAGACAATCCTTTATCGAAGAAAAACAACACATGCAGGATATGATTGATTCTCTCCGGCACAATATATCAATTGCAGAACACGCTTCTCATAACAACGTTAGACGGAGAGGTGGAACAAAAGAATGGCCCAACCGTTCGGGTCTGGACGGGGAGCACAACATGGAGGATTGGCAAGATGGGAAGTATAGTCCTCGCAAAGGGACCGAAGCGGCAGTTCGAATCACCCAAGATTATAAAGTTATGAAGGCAGGAAATTCCAGAAAGGACCTTGTTAAAGATGAATATGTTCCTGGAAGCGACAATCTTGAAAATACCCTTGACGAACAGATTGATATGATGGAACCTAAACCACGCCCGTTTGAGCGAAGTGAGGCTAGGGCTGGGGTCATGAAACGGAGTCGAACGGATACCTTGACTGATTGCAACGAGGACGACAACGAGCCACCGACCAATCCCCAGGATTCTCCCGTCCTGCCCAAAAATCGCACTACGAGGACCATCCCATATCGAGATGATCCCTCCATTCCACCCTCTTCTCCACCAACCCTTCCGCCAGTGGAGATCAGCCCAGTGCCATCACCTGAGAAGCGAAGGCCAAGACCAAATCTCCAAAGCCGCTCAGCATTGTCCCCCAGACCCTCTATGGTCCACATCTCCTCAAACCCTACGCACCCCCCTTCAAGACTTTCAAGTCAGTATCACAATCATCTCAGACGGAAGATCAGCGGGACTCGTGTACTTCCGAGGACTTCTGCTAATGCTGCAACGGCGATGGCTAGCTATTCAGGCATGAATCGTCAAGGCCCCATCCAGGGAGATGAGTCTAAACTCTGCGGAAGCAACTCGCTTCATAGTCCTGCGAGCTTGAAACGCGATTCACTCCCCGCGGATAGAGTGGCAGCAGCTATGAGACGACTCAAGCTCAGGGACCAGCGGCAAAGAATTAGTGCTGGTGGGAAGGAAAATGTTTGGTCGGCTTGATCTGCATTCATCTTTTTCTTCTTTTGTGGTCATGTTAGTAGCTGGACAGGTTTTATTCTATACCCAAATTCCATACCCATGTCTACGTATGGTTGTTCTTTTTCCTTTTGTCTCTGACCGTGGCTTCCTTTTAGGACAGGTGTCCACCAAACTTTCTGGTTCCTATGACATCCTCTTCGTTCTGTTTCTTTGTGGAGATCAAGTTTTCTATTGAGTTGTGCATTTTTCGATGTTGGTGTTAGAGGGTGTTAACATTATTTCCTGTCAGTTTCGTGATGAAGTTCGTTTTCTTTTCTTTTCTTTTTTTTAATTTACTATCATTCTACCCTTTGGGGATTGTTATGTGATGTATCATTGGCTTGAGCGCTAGAAGTACCAACTACCATTATCACTTTTGCTCTTTTTGGGCCAGGTAACTGTATTCTTAGATTGCTAGTAGGTAAACAATGCATATCTAACCGTAATCCCATTCACGCGTTTCGAATGTGGATATATCGCTGATCTTTTATCGATCTTGGGGCTAAGGTGCACGACGGTGGAGCGTTATTTATGCGCCGCTCACTTCCTCACCAATACTGAGAATATTAAGTAGTCTATATATCCATGTTTATTTTATCCCGTCTATATCAGATAACGGAAAACAATTATACCATGCGACGCTATCATGCATGAGCACATGAATGAACGAGTAGATGAGTAATTTCCCATGCGTCGTTCTCTCTCCCTGGTCATCTCCCTACTTCTCCCACACCATGTCTTGAAGCGGAACTCTATCTATATACCAGGTGACCTACCTTACAAACCACGGCTCAAGCCTTCCCATCCGCAAACGAAACAACGGCCCACTTCCCACTCCAAGCCCATTTTCGCTCCTTCTCTCCACCGCCATCAGGCAATGCACGGAGGCGCTCATCCTCGCCTTCTGGTAGACCCACAACGGTGTCTGCCTTGCAGGTGCGGAGTGCCAGGACACGGATACCCGATGAAGAACCCAATGGGCCGATTGCGGTTGTGAAGGGAGTTGTGGGGGGCCATTGCGCCTATAATTTGGTGGGCGTTGTAAGATATAATGAATCCATACTAGGAAAGGGAACGGGTTGGTTGGAGTGGGGCGTGGGGGAGAAGGGGGTTTGTTTGTTCGAACGTACGTCACCAACTAACTTCCTGTAATTCAAATCGCCCTTGAATATCACTAATTCGCTCTCCTTGAGATCTTCCAGCAGCTCGGGTACCTCGTGGGGGAGCCGCCAGTAGCTAGACGCAGTGACCCAGAAGCGGTTTGGCCGGATGATTAGTTTCCCTTCTTCATGGAATCCGCTCCATTGCTGGAATAAGAACTGGAGCTCGTTTACCTCCCGCTCCGAAAGGGCTTGTGGTTTGTTGCCGTTGGCTTTGGGGTCCCCGGCTTCGTCAGGAGATCTGTAGAAGGCTTGTGGATCTGCGAGAGCGGAGATGAGGTCCATGAAATCACTCGGTATTACGTCTGAGACGAACCAGGGGAGGGATTTGGGGTGCAGTACGATTGTAGTCGCGAGTCCCGCAGAGAGCAGGTATCCGGCCAAAATCAAATCGACGAAGAGCTCGAAGCCAGCATTATCAAGGACTATGTCGACACGGCGCTCTTCTAATGGCCTTGCTTTCTTAGCAGAGTTCAATATTTCAAAGGCAAGAGGGAGGTCGTTAATAAGGATGTTTTCTTCTGCAGCCTTGCGTGCTTTGGCACCTTGGAGTTTCTGGATATCTTCGTACGTGAGGGAGGTCAAGAGGGAGAGGTCGGTGGCGTTCCCCCAGAGACATATTTCGCACATTTCCATGAAAAGCAACTTTTCCTCTTCGTTGATTTGTTCCGGTGCTTTGCCATGGGCTCCTTCACCGCTTTCGATTTGTTTGATAAGTTCCTTGTACTTTGCGGCCAATTCCAGGACAGCCGTGCGGGACGATTTAAATGTGGACATCTTCTGTCGTGCGAATACGTCGTAAGTTTTCCAGTGCGTCGATAGGGAGAACGAAAGGTTTATCCTCCTATCTTTTTCTCGAAGTCAGCATTTCCGGCTCGAGTTGGCCAGCACCCCCCACCCCTATTTGTACTTAAATATCAGACAAATCACGAACAAAGATAGCACTCCGTGTAGAGCCATGGAGCATTGAACCAAACGAGACCACCTCTTTCCTCAAGCTCCTTATTATATATCGTGATATCCGATTCACCATCATCCTCCAACGGTCTATTTCTCGTATTGATCATGCAATTGTCCCATCAGCCATCCAATTTAATTCATACTGGTATAGATCTCAGCAGCTTCCTCCGACTCCCCACGTAGGATCCAGCCGAGCTTCAAAAAAAGAAAAAAAAAAAAAAAAAAAATGAAAAATGAAAAATGAAAAAAAGGACACGTACGTCAGTTTGCGATTATGTTGTAGCTCGTACTTGAGCTCAGCAAGCTTTCCCACGATTATTTTGCCCTCTTTTCTCTTTTCATCATCTGTGACTTCGAAGAGCGTTCGGGAGAGGTCGTCAATTGCGCCGGTCTGGGTTATTATTTCAACATAATTTTACAGTTAGCAAGTGCCAATGGCGCGGACGATATGTAATTCCTATCCATTGTATATCGAGTACACGGACCAAAATAACCGGCCATCTGTCCTGGCCCGATATGTATGCAAACGAAGAGGTGTCATTTGTGCTGTAGGGAGCTGTTTTTGAATGATAACATCTTAGCTCGAGCGCGTTCATTGATTACCCCTCCATTGCCCCGCATCTATGATCTAGGTAGGCGGGTCAGATGGAGGGAGAAAATCGATTAGGAACTTACACGTTCTGGTATCGAATTCCATGTTGCTTCGTCTGCCTTTTTTCTTTTGGCTGGAGGTTTGGAAGAAGAACTTTGAATGGATGGGTTTGGAAAAGACTTGGGGGGGGCGGATAGGAAGAAGATTTGCGCTCTGAAGTAATATACGATAGGTTAATAATCGCCAGCTAGCGCCCTGACCCTTTTCAAGGGCTTTACATAGCCATGGACTTGCAGCTAGATATTCAGGATGCAAACATCTTATAATATCGTCGTCAGGTTTTTCTACTTTTGCTTGAACCCCAACGAAGTCGCGCCAATTTTGCACTTCGACTCCGCCTTTGGGGCCCTTGAGACTTCAACTCTACACAACAAAGTACCTTACACTCGGCCGATTCTCTGAATTCCATTTTCTTAAGCAACCCCTCTAAATAAGGAACCAAGGCAACTATGGAGCGGCGGGCAAAATGCGCCCTTCAACCAAATTCGGGAAGAAACAATGACGAAGACATGATCTTATAACCTTTCTACTCTCCCATCGCTATGCAGGGGAAACGATATAAACAGGATAATAGAAAAGAAATTAGAAATGAAGACATAAGGAAATCTCCTCGCTGAAAAAGAACCTGAAAAAACTTTCAAAGGAGATAATTTGTGTTCCCATTGAAGGCGGAGAAGGGGGGGGAAGAGCCCCACGTCCAAATGAGAGAAAAGGATATATAAACAAATATAGACAAAAGAACAAAAGGAAAAGAAAGTCGTCCATGGTACATGGTAGCCAGACAAAGTATGTTGGGGTAAGTCGGTTTAAACTCTCATCATTTGCTTCCTGCTAAGTTGCTTGCAAAAATTAAGCCAAAAAAAGAAAGGGAGATGAAATGGGTCATCATATATATGCCAACCTGAACTTTGCACAACATAGCAGTGGAACAATGAGCGAAGAATGGCGATTGATGCAGGCCCTTGCTCACTCTCTTCTTCTTCTTGTCTTCCCTTCCCTTGTCAATCGGCCTCTGTCATTGGAGGGATGAACAAGACAGCCACCCATTTTCACGTTTTCCCTTATCCACGCGGCATCACATTAGCGACATAATTGAGTTTGTAGCGTACGCCTAAAATTTGGGTTAGCAGACCGCGGAAGAATGTGAGAAATGGGGTACGTATAAAATATGTAATATATAAATGGGTATGCGTTCTCAACGTACCATCGGCTTAATATCAGGATGAGGCACAGCCTCGAACTTATGGAATTCTAGCTTTAGCTCGGGGCCGATATTGATATACGCGCCTTTATTTTCTGTATTGTCGCAATATCTAGGAGCGGAGAACACTAGAAGGGAGGGAAATTCAGTCAGCAAGGAACAGATCAATGGAGTCCACTACCAAAATTTGAAGATAGAAAATAAACGAAGAGAGAAAAGAGGGAGAGAGAATGGAATAAACTCACCAGTAATACACCTCCCATCATGCTCAACCTCATATCCTTCCATTCTAACCTCATGGCTCCTAATAACCGCCTCAAGTCCGTTATTCTCACAAAACCTCTTCGTCACATCTGGTCCAAATTGCATCCCAACTCCTCGCTTGCTCGGACTCCTCCCAGGCGCCGTCTGTGGATCCGCCCATAGCATCTCCATCATGAGACCTGACTGCCCCGGCTGCCGTTGGTTATGCCTGTTCAGCTTCCGAATATCATCAAGCGAAACCTTATCGTCCGAAAACAGGCCCCCGTGCAGCGTGAGGAACTTTCCCCCGATCAGTGTGGCGAGTGGCAGCGCGGAGAAGGACTCCGAGAAAGTCTTGAAGAGGCGCTCATTGTATTTGGCCTTGCATTCGCCTTCAAAGCCATACGTGCGGTTCATGTCGTCTGTCTCGTGGTTGCCGCGGTTCATGAAGAAATGGTGCGGATACAGCCACTTGTACGCATAGAGCAGGAGAGCCACTTCGGTGGACCAGGAACCGCGGTCGACGAAGTCACCGTTGAAGAGGTAGACGTGTGTTTCGGAGGGGTAGCCATTTAGGCGGAAGATTTCGAGGAGGTCGAAAAATTGGCCTACACAGAAAATTTTTTGGGGTTAGCTGGCGATACCGGAAACTTTTGACGATGATATTGTTTTAGAATAAAGGCAAATTCCTCCCCAAAGAACTCTTACCATGAGTATCACCACAAACCGTCAACTTCGTCCCCTCTTTAATCCCAATCTCCACCATCGTCGGCTCATCATAAACAATATTCCTCGTCGCCCGCACAATCTGAAACGCGTATTTCTTATGAATCTTCTTGCCCGTTCTAAACCGCTCAATCATGTCATCAACGAACTGCTGCGTCATCGACTCTCCTAACTGTGCGCCATCATAGCTATCTTCAACGACCATACCATCAACATCCAACCCTTCAAAGGCCGAGGGCGGGTCCGCAACCTCAATGGCCTTCTCGAACTCTATACGCCGCACCAGTTTTTCGCATTCTGCAAGTTTTAGCTTCGCATCGCGGTCATTTGGGGCCTTGCGGACAACTGTTTTGAAGTCTTTTAGGGCTGCGCGAGAGTTAAGGATCGCGGTATTGGCGATTGCTCGTCGCCAGTATGCCTGTTTTTGTTTGTGTAAAAATATTGGTTAATAACATGATATGGAAGGGAGAATGTGGGAGGGCGATATATCCCCTAACGTATAGACTAGGATGGGCATGGGGGAAGAGAGATATGATCCCACACCTTTACATAGTCGGGGTCGAGCTCAATTGCCTTGGTGGCATCGGCAACCGCATAGCCATATGCCTCCAGCTTGATATGTACCTGTGCATCGCAAGTTTTAGTTTAGTTAGTTGCTAAGTTTTACCCATAGCAGTTTCGACTTGCTGAGTGTTCCACCACTTCTTCTCACGACAACCGAACTGGACAAGATGAGGGAAAGAAGAGGCACAAGAGGCTGGCCGAAACTGGAAACGAGAAACATACCTGTGCGCGGTTACAAAAAAACGAGGGGTCCTGGTCATATTCCTCAATAGCCTTGGAGTAGAAATCCAATGCTTGAATCCAGTCATGGCTTGCGAATGCTTTATTCCCCTGTAGTTTCAGGGCCGTAGCAGCTTTCTCCCCTGCGGTCGCCATCAGAGAGCGGAAGGGAAGATAGGTCCAGTGGCGGATACAAATTCAACCGTAAGCCGGGAAAAACCCTTCAATGTCTCTCCTCTCTCTATATTTCTCCTTCCCCCTAATCTTATCACCAAAGCTGGGTGGAGCTCCCAAACTCCCAGCAGTGGCTGTGTGGCAGGCGGGGTTATTTAACGAGCGGGGTACGATAGAATGTTTGATTTTCTAATTCTGGATCGCGTTTGTAGCGTAGTAATATTCTGAGACTTCAGCGAAGGTGCATGTTCGTATGCTATATGGATGTTGAACAGAACGCTGGAAGAAAAGATGTTTTAAAGTCGGGACAAGGAGTGTCAGATCACTAGTGCCGCGGATTGGAAAGTGATGGAATTGTAGATGAGAAGTCGAAATTGTTCCGTTGTTCGGAGCCAGGAACACACTGCGCCTAATCCCTTTTGGGACTAATAGGAAAGTTTCAGTCGGTGGCTATGTCAGCGTCGATCTCGGTCATGGAATCATTGTTGCGACGTCGAAGGAACAGGGCAAGGGAGCTCAACTTGGACCGGCACACACCTCAAGGCGGAACCGCAAGGGAGACAAGACTAAGAAGAAAACGGAGGAGGAGGCGGCGAATAAGAAGAAGAAGAAGAAGAGAATCATCATGTCTTCCTTCTACGTCCCCACGGGTCAACAGCGATCTCTCCGTGCCTGCATGGTCTGCTCAATCGTCCAGGTGCACAGTGTACGCCCAGATACACCTCGACCTCCCCCCATATTCTCTCCTTTCCCCTAATACAAATCACTAACAAAGCTCTCCTCGATTGTGGCGCTTGCACTACCAGAAATTCATGCGTGAAGGCTGCCCAAACTGCGACCACATCCTCGGCTTAGCCGGTAACGGCGAGAAGATCCAACAATGCACATCCCAGGTGTTCGAGGGGCTGATAACACTGGCGGATCAGCAGGCGTCGTGGGTGGCGCGCTGGCAGAGGTTGGAAGGGTATGTGCCTGGCACGTATGCGGTTAAGGTGACGGGAACGGTAAGTAGAGTAAACGCCGTTGATATTTTGGGAGGATGAGATATTAGGGGGCATGGAGAGATGGGAACGGGTGTTATGTGATGAGGATTTGAGGATGCTTTTCCGTGGTTTTTTCTTTGTTTGGTTTTGATTTTGTTGATTTGTTGAACAATGTTGGCTGACATGTCTCTTTTGCTTGTAGTTGCCGCCAGGTGTCCTAGGTGATCTGGAAGACTCGGGGATTCGATATATTCCGTATGTGCTCACTTCCTTCCTACCCCCCGTTATCCTTCCCCCATCCACCCGCGCGTTTTGCCCTTTTCTGTCGTCCTAATTTGAAATTTCTGTCGGATTTAGGAGAGACGGAAGCTCGATTGACGAGGAAGGTTGAGAAGCCTGCTTTGTTTTGTATTTTGCTTTTCCCTTGCAGGGGGCTGGCTATTTGGGTGAAACAGGATAGATTTTTTTTTTTTTTTTTTTTTTTTTTTAAAAAAAAAAAAAAAAAAAAAGCAATGGCTTTTGCAAGTGGAGTTTGCGGTTCTAGGGGGATATATATCCTGTGTTGCTTTTATCGCGATTGCTTCTAATAAATAGACGGTGTTTAGTTTTGACCGGATTAGGAAAAGGTTTTCAAGATTGAGTATATCTCCTGTATTTCGATATCTTAGATTTTGGTGTCCTGTACAGCTTCGTTTCAAAACAAATTCACCCACCACAAAATTTTTTAACTCCAAAAACTTAAAAATATGGACTGAAGTCCGGAGTATTATAGTCTTGGGGTAAACAAAATTAAACAATGCTAACTACCAAACCCGCGGAACAAAGGAAGCGGGAAAAGCAAAGACAAATTTACCACCAGGAGGTAAGCAATATTTTTGAACGCAAAACGAGTTTAAGAAGCATGTTCCAAGAAAGTTAAATGATAATAAACAGTTTGAAAATAAATATAAATATGAAAATAAATATAGACATTAAAATATTGGAAAACGAAACGTCACTATTGCACGAATTGCTTCAAGACTTCACGATCTTCTCCAGCGACTCGAGAAGTATATCAGCTAATTCACACACAGACACACACGCGCACACGGTATAAGTTAGCTTTATTCCTATTACCAAAACATGGATACTAAGGGCCACACAGTTTTAATATCTTACCATGATGTTTCTGGAAAACCAACATGGGCCGCAATCGCACGGCCCGCTCGCCACAGCCGCCAATATTGATACCGACGCTCTTCCCCTTTTTTAAGATAGCATCGCGCTGCGGGCTATCCCAAGCAATGAAAGTGCCCTGGCCCTTGCCTCTCAGATTCTGGAATTCGTTGGGGTATTGCTTCGCTAGGCGCTCGAGGCCGGTATACAGGTAGTCGCCCGTGGCAGCCGTGTGGTTGACCAAATCCAAGCGCTTGATCTCCTCGATGATTGCGCGGAAGATAAGGGCACGAGCTGGGTCACCCATCCACGTGTTGAATTGACGGTATGGCTTGTTCGGGCGAAGGAGGGAGTCTCCGTAGAAGTATCCAGCAGCCTGGGCCTTCTTGGAGAAAGTGACGATATCCGGTGGGGTTTGGAGGTTCCAGTGGTCGTGGGCCCAGAACTTTCCAGTGGCCCCAACGCCGGTTTGTACCTCGTCAACGATCATGAGGACGTTGTTTCGCTTTGTAATCTCGCGCAGGCCCTGGAAGAAAGCCGGGGAGGCATGGTTGTCTCCACCTTCGGATTGAATAGGCTCAACGACGACAGCAGCAACAGGGTTATGGAATTCTTTGATGATACGTTCAACTTCTGCCAAGCATCGTTTCTCCTCCTGGGCGTTCTCTGCGGCGAATTCCTCTAGAGGGTATTTCAGAACCGGGAATGGAGCCTGGGGCCAGTCGAATGCAGGGATATCTAGTTTGTGGATCGGCTTGCTTCTCGTGGTGGAAAGGGTACCAAAAAGACGACCGTGAAAAGCAGTTTTGAAGGACATAATAGACAGGGGCGGGGAACCAGGAGCCTGATTTAACATGGTAGATGCAATCTCGGCCTCGGTAAATTCGACCTCGGGGCCACCACGTACAGATTGTCGGTGGTACATAAACGCAGCCTTGTAAGCGGTTTCGTTGGCATCAGAGCCAGCCGTGGCAGTGAACACCTGGTTGAGGCCTTTGGGTGCGACAGTGAGCATACCAGACTTGAGGATAGTTGCCCAATCGTGGGACGGGAAGTTCCCTAGCGCAGGACGATTGACCAGAGCGTTCACCATCTGTGGAGACTTCGCAGCGGCAATCAAGGTAGGGTTATTGTAGCCAACCGGGATTGAGGCAATTTGGGCATATCTAGGGGAATGTTTGTGTTTAGCACGGTAAAATTCCCACGACATTTGGAATGTGATCTTAATTTAAAACGGTTAACACACTAAGAACTTACACATCCAATAGAAGATTTCCGTCAAGATCAGCAATACTACATCGTAGCAGAACAGGTTAAAAGGAAAATGCTTCCCAAAAGATAAATTCACCAGGTTAGGGTCTTGGGGGCCATGCTCCACTTACTAGTTTCCGATGCTAACATCATAATTTGAAATCATATTGATGCTTCTAGTATCGAAGACCTCTCCTAGTTCCGTAGATGCCTTTTGGTTTTGGGGGCCAGGGATGGGGGTTTTCACAATGGGGCCGGTTGGCTCGCCGGGGAAGAATGGTTTGGTCGCGGCGGCACTGGCACGAAGGTGCCGTGTGGTAGAGAACGACCGGCCCGATTGAAGCTGTGAAAGCCTCTTTAGACCGGCGCCCAAGCCGGAGACTGATCGAGAGATGGCGGCCATCGTGGGTATGCGGACGGAGAAAGAAAGGATTTCGGAAGCGTGTAACCACCAGCAATCCACTCACTTAGCTAACTGGCCAGCCAACAGCGCAGTCGAAGCTGTGCCAGTAGCTATGTCTATGTCTCAGGGCTGCAGCGATAAGATAGGAACAATGTAACAATATAGATCGAGCTTGGTGCCAGAGGTATCAGCCCGTATGTATGAAGACAGACAGTGAAAAGGTAATGCCAAAAGTGTAATGCCAAAAAGGGGGGAAGGGGAAGATCTTGGAGATATTAATATAGGACGGTTTCCCCCAAAGATGCCGCTCCACAGCCGCAGCTCCCTCGGTGCCAAGACAAGTGGGTCCGGGCCAAAGCCATGGTCCAGGGCCGAGAGCCGCATCGGAGCTCTAATTGGAGGGAGCTCCGTTCCAAGGTTGCTTCCCCGCATCATGTGCCTCAGCCGATTCGGCGATTCTGTCCATTCATTCTCCGTGAGTGATTTTGACATACCTATTGCAGACTAGCGCCGTGCTAGCGCCCCCCATAATCTTTCTCGAACATCACGATATTTGAGCTCTTTGTTCATGTACAGCCGAATTTTCAGCTATCTACATTTTCCTCTACGCTTCCAACTGCACCTGCGAGCGCTAAGCACTTATACGCCCTGGCAAGAGTTTTTAAGAGTAACCAGACATGAGCAGACTGTACCTCCAACCCATCGTTGCATTTTGGACCCTCCCTTCGGTGGCTCATATGGTGACACTATGGTCACTTTTGATGTGATTCATGGAATCCGGGCTGGGGAAACCCACTGGGCCCAAGTTCTTGCTGTCAAAGTTGTCAATGCAAGCCCCCAGTTATCCAACTGCTCTTGAGGGTATTACAACTGCAGTTGCCAAGCTGTATGATTCCTCTCTACTTTGATCGTACTGATGATAGAGTAGACCCTTTTCTTCTTGCCAAATACCATTACTCACGCGAAACAGTCTCCTATGCCAGGCTCTCTGACCTCCAAGGCACAGTGATACCAGCATCCTACGGGATTATACATACTCTCTCGAACTACCCACGGATGAGTCATCCTCACACATTGCTCGGCTCGTTCTGATTGGGATGATGAGGGTCTGTATTAGGTTCTCCAGTACGAGAATATAAAAACTTTGCGATTTGACGGTCGGAAACCCCCGATTGCTCCTCAGACACACGCTGCTGCGGCAATCGACGGGCGCCGTTGGAAGATTCTTCGCTTCCGAGAGGCAATGCAACTAAACCGTCCAAACAAGTCATGAATCACTCCAAGGAATGCAAGGACATTTCGCTGTTCTGTTCGATTGGCTGAGTATGCTTATTTTCGACTTCGATGGTGTGAATGAAAACGGAAGCAACCCCGTACCAACAAGGATCACTTGCTCCAATAATTCAAGTCAATTTCGATGTTTACTCCTCGGCATGATCTACATGAGCCTCAGAAAGGAAGAAACTTGCCAAACTGTGGTAATTTTTCTTACCTTGTGCCGGGTCTTTTGTTACACAGTTGTGGCAACATAAGTCCCTCAGATTGAGTTCTGTTTTATTAAAATCTATATATATATTTTAATTTTTATCATTTCAACATTCCCTATGCAAAGTGATAAATATCTCCATTGCTGTAACCTGTTTATTCTCTACTTCGTCTGTCTTCTTCGTTCGTTTCCTTGTCTACCTTAATTTCCCTTCCAGCCTAGGAGCTATTGTCCGCTGCTTTTGTATATATATATAAGATATTTACTAGGAATAAAACGCGACTCTAAATTCAAAGAACAAATGAGTCTTTAATTTTATATCATCCATCATACTGGGGAGATATTCAGCCAGGGGTAAATAGTATTTCTGGTAATGGGATCTATTTAGAAATATTTTTGCTCCTGCTGGTCCCCTAGAATCATCACACGGGCCAGTCTATCTATATATATATAATCTGTAGTGAACATGCATTTGTTTCATATTTGTTTGTTTTCCTGTTTCCCCGTTTTATTTTTATGATATCTGTCTGACTTGTGTTAATTAATGTATCTCCTCCATGTTCCATATATTGGTTGGAGTTTGTACAGATGTCGTGAGCTTCATGTAGAGATTCAAACAAGGCAAATGAGGGGAAAAAAGGGAGAAAAAAAAGAGATCAATGGACAATCAGGGAATCGAACCCTGGACCACCCCCAATGTTTTTACAGTAACCTTTTTGGAACTGCTAAGGGGGTATTATACCACTAAACCAATTGCCCCTGTTCTCTTCTCGATTTTACGGGGCAAGAATTTCAAGTTCCAAGTTGTGCGGTTAGGGTTTTTTTTAGTTTTGGCCTACGTTGATTGGTTGACTCTTGGCATTTGACCCCACATCTCATGAGATATACGGAGTAAACTATTAAGAACAATCTTTTCTAAATTACATTCACACAGTCAATATTCCTGTTACCACTAGGCAAGTGTTATTGTTGTTGCTGGTCGGCATGTCCCGAGCTAGTTGCCATGACCAGGTTCAGCTAGATGCCCCGCAGCATCCACTACACTGCTCTCATGAAGTATACAAGAAAACAGTTGCGTATAAGTACTTGATACGAACTAGAAAGTTGGAAAGGGAAAAAAGGAGAGAAAAAAAACAGAAGATTGCTCTGATGAGGTATGGAATCCCATGAATGGTCAGCATCCGTCACTCAAAGCTCATATGGCATCACTCCATTCCTGCAGCGCAGAAAATGACAATGAGGCAATCGGGAACAGAAAAAAATAAAATAAATAGAAGAGGAAAATAAAATCTGGACAACATTCGTCCAATCAAAGATGAACAGGAGACATTTTCTATATGTCTATATGTATGACGCCACATTACGAGAGTGAAAAAAGATGGAC